TCAATAAACGGCGAAAGTGCAAGCACACCCACCTCAAGATGTCCTCGGCTTCAGTAACTCAGGCGCAGATTTCAAAAAAGAAGGGTTCTCAGATAGAAATCCGCCTGAACTGTAGATTGACGGATAGTTCGCCGTGAATCACCCACGGCAAGTTTTTTTTTCACAGAGTGTATACTCTGTATGGGTGACAACGACACGCAACCGCCACCCTCTACTTCTGTTTGCAGTAGATGGGAGATAAGATGTGAGCCAGTAAAGCGCAGGAAAATAAGAGAGATGAAAACAGCCGATAAGGAAATGGGAACGCGATTCGAAGCCGCTGCCCATCAGGAGATATCAAAGAAGAGGTCAATGCAAAACTTGACGTGCCACAGGTCACTTGGACCTTCTGCATCCAGCCTTTTTCGACGAGTCCAGTTCTCCAGATTCGTTGCCACAATCCACGACTCTAACAAGGTCGGCCAAATATGGCAGTATTACAGCTGCATCAAGTACAGGTATATCATGATGTTTCATCTTAAGGCAGCTTGACAAAAAAGACCGACCTGAGGTGGCGCACTGCAGTGAAGAGTACCTCTATTGGCACCGAAAATCGATAGTTGCAGAAAGCCATCAGCCTTTAAAATTTCGGGTATACCACTGCATAATTGGTGTCATGAACATAGACCTCCCCAGGAAGCGATATGAGAAAATAACTTGCAGTTCGACAGGGCTGAGGAGCAGCTTGCCAGACGGAACCGACTCCGCGCAGCCTGCGACGAACCTCTTCAAACAAAACGTTTGGATTGAGGAGCAGTCAGAGTAGACACACACACACTCAAAAGACAACCACAGGACAGGTTAGATAAGGACAAAAAATCGCGGGACAAAGTATTACATAAAACAAATACTTAACCCAGATGGAACGTAGAAAGGCAGACTTCTTTTAAAATAATAGTGGGTAAGCAAAAACTGCAAAAACAAAAGGCAGCATCAGCATTACTTGGATTTGACCAACCAAAATAACGAACATCTTGTCCAGAGTCGGGGAGAGCTGAAAGCGGCAGAGAGTTGAAAGCATTTACGAAAAAAACACGGTTTGTCTCTTGGTCAGCTTTATGAGTAGAGAAGGTAGTAAGTAGACTGTAGGGAGTGGCGAAAAACCACGATGAAACTTCCTTTAGCCAGCAAGGATATTTTGAACAGTGATTTTTACTTTTACCTTTTTCGGCGAAGATAAACGTCATACTTAAAGAGAGCACGGGCACACAGACGAAGTGATTTGAGAACAGCAGTGATTTAAAAAAAACATGAGTATACCGTTATGCCTTTCTCTCAAGCAACTTTTCAGTCGGTCGTCCATTTGACAGTGAGTATTTGCATTTCTGAGGCTACGAAAATCAGTCCTGCATGCAAAACATTCGAATGCAGCCAAGTATTTCAGCAGTTGTTACCTCAGTCTAGAGCTATTAGACAGAAAACTTAGGTTTCGAACGCACAGGAAGAGTTCTCTAAACGAAATGTCATGGATACAGAGAAGATACAAAGTCTATTTTGAAGGACAGAGCTGCCAGGTTAGGTATGTGAACGCGATGAGTTATGCATGGCAGTTGACTAGGCATGCTGGGGGTCTGGG